CCCAGCAGGATGATTCAGGCAAGCAACATTCATCAGTTGACCCCGAAGTAGGGCATTCAAAGGGCTGATTTCAGCTCAGTGCAGTGGGGGTGAAACAAAACTCTCTACGATTAAAAAAGCTGTCCAAGCTATAGAGGACAGTTAGCCATTTGCAACAATCATAATAACTGACTTTCAGAGTCAAACAAACAAAGGGCATCAAACTAACTCTTGTGAATTCAGAGTTTGCCTCATCAATGTTTACAAGACTTATGAGCTCAGGGGAGACGTTCAAGCATAGTCCAGGAGTTAGACAATAGCTCTCACAGTATAGACAATCAGGTTATGCGCCCATGTGTCCTCATCAGTGAGATTACAGATAGCTTGTTCATGATGAACGGTTGTTCGGTAGAAGTCAGACGTAGGACATTTGGGAATAGTTTGGGAATGGCTAGAGTTGAGTGTTTTAAATGGTGCCCTCCCTATGCTCCACTGTGTGGGGCAAACATCTTAGTGTTTTAAACCCAGCTGGATCACTCATGAGCTGCTTAACCCATTTATGGCAAACATTGTAGATTACTGACAGACGCTCTGGTGTGTGTGAGTGAGTCACATTAGCACCTGACTTGAGTTCTGTTTTTCCTCCCTCAGCCATTTCAGCTCGTCTCTGTCTGTATGAGTCAGTTTTTGGGATGTGTAGAGGTAGATAAAGGAACTGGTCTTGTCACACACAAACACTCATGCATACCGATCATCACTCATTTTGGCGAAAACTGTTTTTGTGAAGCTGCTGGTCTTCCTGTCTTCACTAGGGTTGGGAATCTTTGGCAAACTCATGATTGATTATGATTCTTGGTGTCACAATTCGATTCAGAATTGATTTTCAAATCAAAAAGGATTTGATTCAATAAAATAAAGATGGGCACTATATTTTGGCTCTTTCAGACCATCTCTGGAGAATTTGATTTCTTGAATTCCTCTAAAGTTTTATTGCCTTTTTCAATGCGGAAATTCCCCTCACTTCAGGCTCCCTGAAATGATGCACTGATTTGCTGCTCTATCCATTGCTAGTGTTTCCAGTTAGGTGTGTCAGTAACAAAGGCACTGGTACTAAGTTACACAAGTAAGGCAGTGTGTTTGAAGAAACAGAACTGCATTACTTTGTGTACTGTATAAATGTCTGGGGTTACATTCAGGTTTGGTGATCTAGTCCTCACTTTAATCCCCACCTCTCTGCGTCCTTTCTTCTTTGTTTTTCTTTTTTTTTCCCGAATGTGACATCACTACTCACTGCTCTAGCTGGAATGTGCTTTAACCCCGCCTCTCTCTCTCTTCTCCCCCTCCTCTTCTCCTCTGCTCCTCACTGTTTGGCCTACTGCTGAACAAACTTGGTCTCTTCAGCTCTTCTTCTTATCTGTAACTGGCCAGTATTCTCTTAACTTTCTGTCAGACTAAAGTATCACAAACTAGGTGTTTCCTCCTTTTGTAACTTTGCGTATCTCTGTCATCTGACAGTCAAAAAGGAGGTATTGAAAGGAACTGAAAGGTAAGATAGGACAAGGTAGTGAAAGTATTGTGTGCCTGCATCTACCGTGCATGTTCCTCTAGATTCTCTCTCTTTAATCAATGTGTGTGTGTGAGACTACAGTCAGTTATTGCGAGTGCGGGAATGTGTGTCAAAGGACTTTGTATGCAATCTCAGTGTAGCTGAACATAGGACATAGTTTTGTCATGAAGCTGTAAGGACTGTAACACTGTGTTAGTGAGTGTACATCAGAGATATTGTGTGTATGTTGTTCACTGGAGTGGGCTGGGATATGTAAACCTGTATATTCATGTATTTGTAGGCAGTGTTTTGTGCATTTTTTGCATTTCTGGTCAGTGTTACCCTCTGTTTCTGTGTATATGTGTGTGCCCATGTATCCTCTGTCTGTTGGTTGTCAATAATAGGTTCACCTCTGTCAATGGGCATCTGTCTCGCTCCCTTTATTCTTTTGCACTAGGTGATCAGCTATTGGTGCTCCCATAGTTTTTTATCTATTTATTGTGTATTATGTTAATAGAACATATTTATGTTTTTAAGCCAGCTGAGCATACAGAAATCCCAGATTTCTCAGGGACACATCGATGAGCCTGCCTTCCTCCATGGTGTCATCACATTACACTATTTTTCACCTTTTTTCAGAAGCTAATGATGAACATATCAGAGTGCTTGAAATGTTTTGTTGTGTGATGTTTCCTCTGGTGTTTTTTGAGAATGAAGAAACCAAAGAGCCCTGGGTTCTTGACAGAGAAATGTACAGTTATTTAACACAGACGTTTTCACAGCATGTGTGTCCAGTATAATTCATATTACCATACATCTTTTTTATATTTTTAATAAGCTGTGTGTTTCTACAGAGTATAAAACCCATTCGCTGTTGTGATCTCCCAGTAGATTACAGGTTCCATTTTGTTATGAGTATAAAAAATAAGCAGCAGACAAATTAATGCCTTCTCACATAAGCAACCACTGCCAAGTCTTCTCAAGCTTGTTTGTTGTGTCTTTGTTGACTCTGTGCTGGTGACAGTCAACATGTGATTGGTCCTTATTATAGCACACGGACATAGTTGAGTGGCAGTAGTAAAAACTCTTTATGGGCTTGTTTGTGTGCTTTTATAGCTTTGGACAGTTCTGTAGCTTCAATGGAAGAAAAGCTCCCATTTCTTTCTGTTCATTTCCTGCTATTGCTCATTTTTTTTCCATCCATAGTCTTATTTCCTTATTCACACTCACATTTTTGCTATTAATCCCTTTCATTTCTACAGTCAAATCTTCTTGGCATGGAATCTGTTTTCTTTTTTACCCTGCGTGTCTCTTTGTGCTTTTCCAAAGCTTGTCATATTCATTCTTCTCTTCCCCTCCTTCATTTGTCTGGATTTTCACCTCTACCTCTCTCTCTCTGTAAACTGTCACTGGTGAGGTAATGATGGAACATATGTGGATAATTGCACTTTCTCATCTGGACTTAATATGTGTATGTACATACACACATATACAAATGTGGGTGTAGTTTGGGCAGGTTCTTCAGTATATACTAAAATGGACAAAACAGAATCAGCCGCATGTGTTTGTGTGTCTGGACATAGTCTGTTATGTTGAGTTTATAGCCTAGTACAGTCAGTGTGTGTGATTAATCTGGCTCACAGAAATGCTTTCATCTTCCTTTCATAATATTTTTCTTTCTCATGTTTCTCTCATTTCTCTCTTTTCCACCAATTCTCTCCCATATAACTGAAGAGGCCACACGAAGGCCTGTGATTTTAGACACACCCAGATAAAATCTTGTTCTCTCTTTCTCTCTGGGGAATTTTGTTGAGATTCTTGAATTCCCTTCACTTCTCAGTGTGAGTCTGTTTTTACATTACTCCCTGTTTCATAGGCAGCAGATGTTGGAGGGCGTGAGGTCTTCAAACACTCAAACAACCCATTTCCTCGTTGTGCTTTATTTTGATTGGTTCACTTCTCTTGGTCGGAGGAAACATGTTGGGCTGCTGATACATACAGTACACTGATCAAAGTAAATGAAAAGTAGAAACAAAATACGACAAGAAGAGAGTTTCATAATACAGGGGACATATAGATTTTGTTTTCTGGGCAAAGGAGAGGTTTTAAATCTAAGGAGAAAAAAGTGAATATAAAAAAATGTCAGTCAAACCCACTCTAGGGAGCAGTACTCTGTCTAGCGTGTGGTTTCGCATGTATCTGCTTTTCAAAGCTGGTGCTGCAGACATCCTTCAAAACATCTTTTCCTACTCTTCCTTCAGGTTGTAGCTAGTCAACTTCTGAATTCAAGCTTTGGTACTGGTACCTTATTTATTTGTTTGTTTGTTTGTTTGTTTGTGTACACTGAAACCTGATTGCAGGTGTCTCTCATTTACTATATCGACCAACCTTGGAAGGTTTAGTGGGGAGACTATTTCCCGCTTCCTTTCTGTTCGGGTTTAGTGTAATTTGCTGTGCTGAAATACAAAAGGAGCAGTCAGTCATTTGACAAACAGCTATGTTTGTTAATACTAACATCTGATATATGTCCAAGTTTATTTGTAAGTGGTTTAATTTATTATTGAAACAAGGGGGAAAGGCAGTGCTTTAGCATTCACAATACCAGTAAGCCAAAATCCCCAGTATGCTTTTTTTTGGAAAGTTACAAAGCTCTCTTTAAAAATATAACGGTTGCTTTTGCCTTAACGTCATTTACTTTGTGCATTACTCAGGACATTCATAATTGTTTGTGTCTACTTGTGAATTTGACAATAGAAGTATAACATCATCAACTTAATAATTACTTCAGCATCTGTCTTCAAACATCTATTTCCTAATGTATTTATTCACTGTTATTTCTTGCCTTGGGAATGTTAACATTTCTGTATTACATTGTTCACATGTCAATTACAACAAGATGCCTCCACTTTCAATAATTTAATAGTCCTCTGTGGTTGTTAGTCAGAAAATATATACCCAGCTTTACCTGAAAATGGGATCTGTGTCAACTGTTTTGCATACAAATGAAAAGCGGCTGAAAACTAGTAGCCACAGAAAGACTCCAAAATGCAGCTTGAAGCCAAATAGTCGAGCCCTGTTATGGCATGTATGATAAGACTATTGGAGTGTGCAGTGTGTGTGCATGTGCTCCACTCCTGAAGGCCAGCTACAGTTTTTTTGTTCCGATGCCTTAAATCATGTCTGAGACAGAGCAGTGCAGTTTTCCCTCTTTGTCCTTTGTGTGCATGTGTGTGGTGAGATTTCTTGTGAAAATGTAATCATTGGCTAATGGATTTGTTTGTATGTGTGTGTAGAGGCTCAGTAGTGTTTAAATAAATTTGGAGCTCTGTCTGTGTGTGTGACAGTGCTGTGGAATTGCTCAATATAAAAGAACTTATTGGTTTTAACAGAAGACAGCGCTGTGTGTGTGTGTGTGCGCGCATGCATGCACGAGTTTTAGTTGGGTTCCTCAGCTGTAAAAACACTGCATCCTTCTTTTCTCTCATAGCATCTTTCCTAGGCCACCTCGCCCTCTTTCCTTTTTCTGGCTTTACAGAATGTGGCTACCTCACTTCACTTATGTTTTTTTACCCAGCGTACAGTCTATTGTCATTCCCGTGGCCTTTGTTTTCAAAATGAATTAGTTTGGAGAAATACAGATATACAAAAATCTGTATTTGTTTGTCTTCTGGTTTAATTAAGAGGTAGCTATCTGAATGTCAAAACAGTGTTCTCAGTGTGGGTAGATTTTTTTTTTCTTTTCTTTTGACATTTTGATATTACTGTCAAGTTTGTTTTTCATCTTTCAACAAATGATTGTTTTTCTGTTTTTACACAAATGTGTCTACGATTCTTTTTTTCCCTAGTCATTCACAAATGAACAAGCTAAATAGATGTGCATTTGCTGTAATTACAGTTGTATATGTTCTTCCACAGTACACAATGTGTTTACTTACAGTATTTTCACTACCAGCACTGAGCCCACTGGAATACGGGCTGGAGGCAGCTGTTGCTCATGCTACCAAGCAACACATTATTGACTCCATTGGTTATTTTTGTACTTGAGCATTTCCTCATTTTTCATGTTTTGATTGTTGTCTTTCTTTCTCCTTAGGCTCTGTGTATAAATGTGCAGTGCAGCGATGTGCTGGAGACGTTAAGCCTCATTTTCTGTGGTGCAGATGTAAACTGTTCAACTGGTATTGCAAGTTGTCCTTCCCCTCTCTCCCTGGCCAAAGCGCACTCACAGCTCTTACAGGCTGAGTTAATTAGTCACAATCTCAACACAGGTACAGTATAACTATGCATGCACAGGGTCACATGAAAGCCCCTTTGCTTTTAATGTTTACTTGACATTTGAACAGGGTTTTTTTTTTTTTTTTTTTTGTCCTATTTAGCAAAAATTAAAGCCCTTAAAAAGTCTTAATTGCTGTTTTAAGAGGTATTAAATTTTATAGCAATTTCTCTATGTGAATAGTCTATTTGTCCGGAGAGTTTGTTTGCTAAAAATTTGCATGAATTTGTTTGTTTATACTGTGCAGCCATGTTGCTTGTGGAATTCTTCTTTAAAGACGCAGTGTCATTGACCGGTGGCATCAAGGCTAAATTTGACGTCATGTAGAAAGGGCAAATGTTTTGCGCACTCACACGCCTATTGACTGCTGTCAGTCTAACAACCCCCCACCTTAAACTGACTTTACATAAGCTAAGAAATGTAATGGGAAAATGTGAGTTCTCAGGCAAGTGGTTGGATGACACTGAAGTTGAACAGTGGTTGAGGGAGTCCCACCACTGGGAACAACAGGCAGGCATATTGTTTAATGTATAAATACAGTCCGATCTATTGTGTCGCTGATTTTATGGATATTCCTTATACTTGTTTTGATATTTTCCAGTCATTATGACATTTCTAAATGTTACATAAGCAAACACACATTCTTGTTTTACCCAGGATGTTTTGGACATGTTCTGCTTGTCATTACCAGGCCTGTTTTTCTTATTTGAGAAAGACAAAAGTATTTTACTTTTTCGCTTGTTTGTTTGTTCTTCTGCAGACCTGCGTCAGCCAGAGGTGGGCGATGCCATGGAGCTGAAACATGTCTCACCACCAGTTTGTGTGTCTTACAATGGCTTCCTTTTCAAAACTGCATCCATGTCTCGGGTGATTACAGAGCGCAAGGCCAGAGAGGGTATTCAGCAACTCCATGCAACACTTACACTTGATTACACTCCAGCCTACAGTAATGAAGAATATTTGCATTTATTTATGTACATACATTTACGTTTTGTATTTGTAAATTTTCATTTGTTACTTCATGTAGAGTTCAGTCGCCGCTGGTGCATGTTGAATGACGGGATCTTCAGCTACTATGACAGTGACAAGAACTCGAACCCTAACGGCGCTCTGAAGGCTTCAGAGATGGTCTGCTTGGCTGTAGACGCTCCTGAAAGACATGGGTATACACTCATGCACAGACTGATCCGTTTCCACCATTTTAAAGTCTTAAATAACTATAATTAATAAAAACTGAAATAATATATACAGCGCAGACTGCTCTGTTATTATTCAGAGCTGACTGTCCTTGTGGACTATGTCAGTGGTATGGCTTGATGTATGAACACAACCTTTTGACACAAAACAATCCTTCCCTCCTGTTTTAATTTCTTCCTTCTTCCTTACCCCCCTCCTCTCTCTAACCCTCAGGTATGAGAATACCTTTGAAGTCTACTCACAGTCAGAGCGTCTCTATTTGTTTGGCACGGATGACCCAGATGCCCACAGAGAATGGGTCAAGTCAATTGCTACGGTAACCACCAAATACATACTGGAGTCTAGGAGCACAAACACACATTCTCCTACTTTCTCCACAGCTGGACTGTCACAGAGGGAAGAATTGATATAATTGTTCTTTGTTGTAGTGAAACTAAGGAGCTGTGATAAGGTTCAGTTATGTTTAGACAGGAAAACTGAACTTTAAAGACAGGTTACAGCTATTGGCTGTTTTTGCTTAAATTAGCCTTAAAAGAAACCTGAATGCCAAGATGGTAGATAGATGTACAGCACATCTATGGTTCCTGCATATCAGGCCACAAAGATAGTATGATACCCCTCTTTTTATTTGTAGAGCTTTATCCCAGCCACTGCTGAGCCTTTACTGAGGTTGAATTTTGAGCGGATTGGGTGGCTGAAGTGCAAAGATGGCTTGAATCTACAGACATCCAAGGTCGGTTGGTTTGCTCTGGTGGGCTCCACACTTCACTTCTACCTGGAGAACAGCAAGGGGGAGGAGATCCACCTCCGTAAACTCAATGAACTCTGTGAGTGAGACACGTAAACACTAAAAGCATATACTCAAATACATGGGCACACACACACACACTGCACCTTTACCGCATACATACTATATACAACACTAAAACTTAGGCTGATGACTGGCAGAACAGATATTGTGAAAGAAAACTGAAATAAAGTAATTTGAACTACAGTCATATTGTGACATTTTGGTCTGTTTTAAAGAATGTATTTCTGGAATAATAAGATTACTCTTTTCTTTTTCTTTTTCTTTTACAGCAATTCAACAAGACAATGAGGTGCTGGTTCTGGTCGAGAAAGGCAGGTGAGAGGGGAGGATAATTGCACATTGTTTATTACAATAGTGAGGCATAAGGGAAGATGATTGCTTTTGTATTTGATTTCACAACCTGTTCCACATTATCAAGCCACTTTATTGTAATTTTCTGTCTTTTCTTTTTTATAAACACAGTTTTCCCCATATGCCCATGCTGTTTTCCATGTCTACGTCACTTGTT